TTAGTCTCTATATTCGTTCTTTTATAACAGTTATGTCTGCTTAAACTCTTTTCGGAGGGGGGCCACTTGTATGGGGGCTAGGTGAAAACATCGGCCGTTATTTCCCATTTTCAATAGCAAACAAATTGTAGTAATAGAGATTATTTTTGCAAATTTTCAGCTCCTTAGCTCTTTCCGTTTGGACTCTATCGTGCTTTCAACAGACAGACGGGCGGACTTGGCTAGATCGTCTTAGAATTTCATAAAGACCCAAAATACTTTTGTAGGTCTATAAGCAATATTTTTCTATAAGCCATATTTTTTGATGGTGAGTATAAAAACACAGCGAATTATGTAAATTATTATTATAATTTAAAATATTGCTTTCGAAATTTATTATGTACATAGGTATTTTTTTCTATTCTAATCCCGTGAAAAATTATGTTTATAAACAAAAACGGCATAATCTAATCATTGCATGTGGTTTCTGTTTTTTTGGATATTTATGCTAATTTTTTTAATTAAATCCATTTGAAATTTTCTTGTCACTATATGTTTAAAACACTGAATAAATATAAACAAACGTTTTTTTTACCGCAATATTTTCACAATGACTGCATTTGGAAATAACACCGATTAAATATTTTAATGTTTTTTAACCAAATACATATGTGGTCCTAAAAATAAAATTAAACTAAATAAGTTGAGTTCATAACTTATATATAATTGTTATGAAACTGAAAGTTTAAAATTTAATTTAAGCAGACAAAATGAGCAATCAGACAAATATGCTTAAAGTAACTATTACTATATATTCACACCTATCAAATATTTGGTGAAAATGACGCGACCTCTAAAAAATCTACATTTTGACTTCGTTTAAATGAATATTTATTTACAAAAATTTAATATATCTTTAAAGATATTACTTTAGAATGTCGTGGAAGGATATTGCCCATTTGCAATACCAAACAAACCTTACCTATATGTAATATTTGTGGGAAATTTTATTTCTCTATCTCTTTCCGTTCTAACCCTATTGTGCTTTCAACAGACAGACGTACGGACGGACAAGGCTAGATCGTCTTAGAATTTAATAAGGACCCAGAATATATGTATATACTTTTGTGGGTCTACAACCAATATTTCAATGTGTTACAAGCGGAGTGACAAAATCAATATACCCCCATCTTTTTTGATAATGGGTATAAAAACGAATACCAAAAATAGTTTTGTCAAATATTCTTTAGTTGTACCTTAACTTGAATATTGTTAGTTATGAGCTTAAAGCACTTATATTACAGAAAACGACATTTTATAACTAAAAAACTAACATAATAAAGATTTTTTGCAAAAAAGAAATTTAATCAAAAATTGTTTCGTTAGCCACAAATATAACAGCAAAAGCTTTGACTATTTGCCCAATGTAATAAACGAACAATTTACTCCGCAAACAAATTAATTTCAAAATAACAATTTATAAAATAAAAACTCAAATATGCCGCCAGCAAATCTCTTTTTTTACAACAATAATCCTTTTAAAACAATTTGTTTTAAGAGAAAAATGAACTTTCTTGTACTATGAAATGGTCTGGCAAATTTCTAATATAAAAAAAAATGTAAAAAAAAAAAACAAACTAATGACCCCCCGTGGAATTCTATTAATAAAAGGAACAAAAAATAAATTAAATATTTGAAATAGAATTGAAAAGCTATATTTAATTTTTGTAAATGGTTAGATTAAGTTGCAATGGTTGCCGCAATAAAAAATTTGAGAATCAGTCCATAGCTGACCTAAATGGAACATAATATATTCTAGCCCTCATTAAATATCCAATTCTAATGTTAATATTGAGTTTCAATTTACAGGACATGTATTGATAGTTGATATATAAGAATCGAAATAGAGAAATATAACACTTGTACCTGTTTTACTTCAAATTGAACATGTTACATCGACAACAAATGTACATATGTATATAAATTGACTCTGAATTTCATAAAGCTATAATATATATACATATATATGTACTTTGGTCTCAGTTCTTAGACCAATATTTTTCATTGTTACATAACGAAAGTTAAACTTTTACCTCTGATGGTAGTGGAGGGTGATTCAAACAATAAATCTTCATAATTCAATAAATATTATTGTCCATAAATTTGTTCAAAACTCCACACTAATGTGTTGTTTCTAGATAACGTGTGAGTAGTTTGAGTTAAAATTTTACTTGTATTTTGTTTTTGTTACAATAATAAAATACAAGTAAAATTTGTGCTCAAACTGCTCGATCGGTATCTAGAAACAGCACATAAATGTTGTTGCAACATATTAATAAATGTACTTTAAAATAATGGTCGAGTTTTTTTATCCATTTATATTTTGGGTTCTTACAATTGCCTTTTCGTAGAAAACTAATTGCATTTTAATACACCTGCAACGATTTTTCCAACATCTCTGTTATATTTCTCCCTCGCCTTCTTTCGAAAGTTAGTCTTTAAGTAATTTAAGTTAATTAGTGTTATAATTTTTATTTATGACCATTTAAGCACCACTCAAGCGTAAGTGGTAAAATGAGTTCATAGCATTATAATTTAAATGGAAAGTAGATGTTTTGAGGAAATTGTAAGAAACTATAGTTGGGCGTGGCCGACCATATGATACACACATTGCGAATACTAAATAATAAAGCATTTATGTTGAACCTATGTAATAGGTTCCAAATAATGTCTGTTAATATACGGTTGTATGCTGACTAAGAGAAATAAAAAACCGATTTCAATAATTTTTCAACAGCCTTCGTCATTGCATCAAGAGTATACGACTAATTTCAACAAATTATATTGAAAATTGCGAGCTGTAGCATGCACACAAGATTTACACGGTCACATAGATGGACATCGCTTAATCGAATCAGAAAGTGATTCTGAACCGACGGGTATACTTAAGGACAAATAATTTTGAGTGTTACAAACATCTGAAAATTGTGCCGATTTTTGTATAGATAGTAGTATATTAAACGTAATTAGGTGATAAAAGGAAGGTCCGGTTGTATGGGGGCTAGGGCAGAAATTGATACTTATAAATTTATTGTTGGGAATTATGTTTATATAAAACTTATTTGTTCCAAATTTCATCGTGATACCATGGACATGTGGACATTCAAGTCATTTTCTGAAGGGGACTTTGTATAGGGGCTAGGGTTAAATGATGAAAATCGCAAAAACTATTAAGATTTATACGAAAGTAAGTTTTGCCAATTTTTGTAGAGAGAGTACATCATTTCACATAGCTATGAGGTCAAAAGCGCTATTAGGGAGGGTCCGGTTGTATGTGGGCTAGGTGAAATAATGGACCGATTTCAACCATTTTCAATAGCCTTCGTCCCAAAAGAAAAAGCACGTTCCAAATTTCATCAAATTATCTCAAAAATTGCGACCTGTAGCGTGCACACAAAGTGACACGCAGACAGACATACAGACAGACACGCAGACAGACAGACAGACATAGCTTAATCGACTCAGGAAGTGGATTAGTATACTTTAAGGTGGGTGTAGGAGCAATATTTTTGTGTGTTACAAACACCAGCACAAACGCATAATACCCTCCTTACTATAGTGGTGTAGGATATAAATATCTTGGTAATGTTAAGAGTACGTGACCAATAGGAACAAATGATGATAAAAGTTTTCATACATAAATTCATCAAATGTCTTAAGATTTATTTTTGATTAAGGCTTTAGTTTGATTATTTCGTAAATAATTAATATTTCTAAATATGAATTGCTCTTCACTCTGCAACAATTGCCTTATTACTTAAACATACAATTTAAATATGCAAGTGTTATTCCAATAAGGTTGATATTGTACTTTGAATTTATCTTAACTTCACTTATTTAAGAAGTTTTAAAATTGAATATAATAAATATAGAATTTTCCAAAAAAAGAGTGAAAATTAAAAAAAAATATATAAAATAACAATAATGCTCTTGGCGGGCCCCCTCTCAACATACTAAAACTTTAAACAAAATTTAGCACTTCTTGTCTACATGTTTTAAATCGTTTAGGAATTATGATTTTCCCCACTGTTCGTTGGCCAATGTTATCAAATATGTATGAGCAATGTACATATTTTTGTAGTTCTTGCGTATGAGTGATATTTAATTAAACTTTTATATTTTATAACTTATACGTTATTTTAGTAAACTTTTACAAAATTGTTTATTTAAATTTGTATATTTAAATTTTGAAATTCGAAAGCTTTATAAAACAAAATATTTTTTCAAATGAACTTTTTTAAAGAATTTTTATAAAACTTTTTAATTGTATTTTAGAAAATTCCAACTGCATGTCAAAAAAATCTAATTGTATTTCTGAATTTTTAAATAATAAATAATTAAATAATTTAAAATACAATTGTTTAGCCCTTAGTGGGTTAATTAATCTTATTATTTTTATTATTCCTCTTCCTTATTCTCTTAATACGTATGTACATATGTTTGCAATATATGTATTTAGTATTTACTCACTAATGTTTACCATTATTATTTCTCTTATACATTGTTTGGAAATTGTCTCATCAGTTTTAACAACAACAAAATAACTTTAACAACCGTAAGCATCCACTCTACACAATGTTAGCACACATTTGTAGATGGTGCATTACAACAACGAATTAAGTAATATTATTGTCGTTATTGCATATTAAAATACAAATTATTCAAGGTTAACTTCTTTATTGCAACTTTCCAGTAGAGAATGTAGATCAAATGAAGAAAACATGTATACAGATTTTTTTTAGTAAATTTTTAGCTGCTGATGAGACAAGTAACAAATATTCATTGTAAATAAAGGAAAAGCAAACAATAAAGAACTTTGTATTAATTTTAAATTGAATAAAGGTCTATTTTTTTTGGATTGAACCAAGGGATTTGAAAACGATCAAATCTACACATAAGGTCCTTCGAACCGGATCCCGGATTTAAAATAAAGGTTTTGAATAGATAAAAATTATAACAAAATGTCTCATAATAATACTCCTAACAATACTAATAAAAGTTTACTAGAGCAAACTCCATCTGAATTTGATATAACAATAAATAAGTTTCGTGTAAAAATTTTGCAACGCAATCGACTTATAAAACGTGTTACAGATATCAGTTGCCAATGTTTTGAAGAGATGTCATACACAGAACTTGAGGTTAAATTAGAACTGCTCGAACAAAAGTACAAACAATTTGAGACTATACAATCAGAATTAGAAAACATTGATGAGTCACAAATCGAGGAAGATTTTCGAGACAAATTTGAGGATATATTTTGCGCAGCTAAAGCAAAAATCATTAACAAATTGTCGCTACACAAAACTACAACTAACCCCTTGTCGAGTACTCAAATTAATCAACACGAACCTTCATCATCGAGAGCTAAGGTGAGTCTTCCTAGACTTGAGCTACCATCGTTTAATGGACAACTTAATCAGTGGCTCAATTTCTTCAACATGTTTTCGGTAATGGTTGATAAAAATGATGAATTATCAAATGTTGAAAAATTTCAATATTTAAAGTCATGTTTGACCGGCGATGCGTCTCAACTAGTTCAATCGTTAGAAGTTACAGCAAACAATTACTGCAAGGCTTTAGATCTGCTTATATCACGATATGACAATAAACGTTACATATTTAATTCTCATATTCAAGAAATATTTAAAATTCAAAGAATGTCAAATCCAAACGTAATACAATTACGAAACTTCGTTGACTGTATTAATGGAAATCTTCGAGCTTTACAATCATTTGCATCAAAAAATCAGATTTCAGAAGGCATAATACTACAATTAATTGTCTTAAAGTTAGATATAGAAGTTGCAACAAAATGGGAAGAAGAAGTTTCTAACAATGCTAAGCAAAATAGTACAGACTCATTTTATTTACCAACATGGGTAAATAAAAAAAATCAAGAAAACGAAGATGTTCAAGAAAACATCTTCGTTTTCTTGAACGAAGATGTCAATCCTTCGATATTATCGCAACCAACACAACATCCAGATCATCTCAATTCATACCTAGAAAACAAACTTCATTCGTCGTTTCTGGTGATCAATATTGTAATCTTTGCGAAGGTTCGGATTATCATAACCCCTTCAAATCTTCATTTTTTACGAATATGGATCCTATTTCTCGTTATGAATTAGTAAAACGAAAGGGTTTATGTTTAAATTGTTTATTCCCTAACCACATATCTAACAATTGTCCTTCGAGTAATCGTTGTCAACACTGTCGAGTAAGCCACCATACTCTACTACACAGAGAAAAGGCTAAACAAAATCCAATTGCTGCCGACAATGTTACCACAAATGAAGGTAACTCAAATTGTAACACTCCAACTGTACTAAATGTATCAAGAAGCAGAAGTGATGTCGTTCTGGCTACAGCTTTGGTGGAATTGTCTGTTGCATCTGGAAAAAAAATGGTGGCTAGAGCATTGTTGGACTCAGCCTCACAATTACATTTTATTACTGAAAGAGTTGCCCAAAATCTTCATTTACCCCGTCAAAAAACTGATTTAGATATCTCAGGGATTGGTGATAATTCGATTAAAGCATATTACCAATGTTCACTTACACTTAAGTCTACGAATTACCCTCAAATATCTTTTATTAATGCTATAATACTTTCTTCAATAACAACATGTCAGCCACAAAAATACATTAATACAGAATCTTGGAATATTCCCACAAACATAAAATTAGCTGATCCCAATTTTAATCAGCCCGGTTCAATTGATATACTCCTTGGTGCCAGTATTTTTTATGAATTTCTTATGGTAGGTCAAATAAAACTTCGAGATAATCTTCCTATTTTGCAAAAAACCTCCTTGGGTTGGATAGTAGCAGGCGCAATATCATCGATAGCGCACTCACCATCAGTACCACCAAAAAATTCCGTATTTAGTGCTACAATTCTCGATAAATTAAACGATTGTTTAGAAAAATTTTGGACAATTGAAGATCACCACAGAATAAACAAGGAGGAAAACAATAATGATTGTGAGCGATATTTCGAAGAAACAACGTATAGATGTCCACAAACAAACAAATTCGTTGTTAGATTTCCATTTAAACCAAATGCTCAAAAACTGGGGGAATCATATGATATCGCACTTAAAAGATTTCTGTTGTTAGAAAAACGATTAAAATGTGACAAAAAACTTAATGATGAGTATTCATCATTTATTAATGAATATATAGAAATGAACCATATGAAATTACTGCCAAGAAAACAGGTGTCATCCAAATTGTTAAATTATATTCCTCATCATTGTGTAATTAAAAACGACAGTTCTACAACACGACTTCGAGTCGTATTCGATGCGTCGTGCCAAACTTCTAATGGTCTGTCGCTAAATGACATTCTTCTTACTGGACCTACACTGCAGGATGACTTGTTCACCTTCTTATTTCGTTTTCGTTTACATCGTTTTGTTTTAATGGCTGACATTGAAAAAATGTTTCGGCAGGTCTTCGTCAATCCAGATGATTTAAGGTTTCAATGTATTTTGTGGCGTAATTTATCGATGGAAGAAGTGGATGTTTATCAATTACAAACCATTACATATGGCACTAGCTGTGCCACATTTTTAGCTACAAAGTGTTTACAGCAACTTGCTAAGGATAATGTAGATGTTTTTCCAACAGGTGCTGAAGTTACCCTTAAAGATTTCTACGTAGATAATCTAATGACTGGTGCTAATACGATAGAGGAAGTTATCGAAATAAAAAATCAAGTTGTTCAACTGTTAAAGATTGGTGGATTTCCATTACGAAAGTTTGCATCAAATGTTCCTGATATTATTAAAGATATTAGTTCATCAGATAAAGAACAATTAATAAAAATACATGGCACAGAGTTCATAAAGGCACTCGGTTTAAAATGGTCACCAAAGGAAGACAATTTTCTTTTTAACTACGAAATACCATTATCAAGGACAAAAACAACGAAACGTAAAATTTTATCCCACATCGCCACATTTTTTGATCCATTGGGTTGGATAAATCCTATCATCGTAAGTTGTAAAATTTTAATGCAACACATGTGGACACTTAAACTTTCATGGGATGAAAGCGTACCCCAATGGATTGCCACACAATGGGAAGATATTTGTCAACAAATGCCGCAAATAGCTGAAGTTAAAATACCAAGGTTAGTACAAATAAATTCTGATACTGAAATTCATGCCTTTGCTGACGCAAGTACAAAGGCCTAAGGAGCATGCATATATGCTGTTTCCAGAATAGATGGTACATCGTCATTGTTGTGTGCAAAATCACGTGTTGCTCCGATTAAACCAATTACATTACCCAGACTTGAACTATCAGCTGCACTTCTATCCTCTGAGCTACTTAACGAGGTATGCAACATTAAAAATGTTTCCCCTAATAACATTCATTGCTGGAGTGACTCTTCAATTGCACTATCATGGATAAAAGGAGATGCAGCAAAATGGAACCAGTTTGTGTCTAACAGAGTTCAAAAAATCAAAAATATTACGTCAAATTTTGAATGGCACTATTGCCCAACAGCAGAAAATCCAGCAGACTTAGTGTCTAGAGGAGTAAAAGTTGCTGATCTCATAGACAATAAATTATGGTTTGAAGGCCCAGAATTTCTCCTAAAAACACGCAATAATTGGCCACAATTACCACATCACAATTATGAAGATATTCCTGAAGAAAAAACTAAGGCTGCGACTCTCATCGTAAATCAATCACCAAATATATTCTTCGATTTTAAATACATCAATAATTACAAAAAGACTCTAAGAATTTTTGCCTATGTGAATAGATTTATTGCTTTAGTTAAAAAAACAAAGGAAGTTAAAAGGGGTCATATCACACTTGATGAAGAAAATCAAGCATTATTAAAAATCTGTACTATTATTCAAGTGGAATCCTTTTCTGAAGAATATAAGGCATTGTCCAAAACTAACGTTATAAATCACCAATCAAAATTAGTACAACTCTCACCATTCATCAAAGATGGTCTTATTCGTGTAGGCGGTCGTCTTCAGAATTCATCGTTGTCTTTCGATGCCATTCACCCGATTGTATTGCCTAATCATCACCCATTTGTTCGAACACTCATTAATCACCATCATCGAATCCACATGCACGCTGGAACTCAAACACTCAACAGTCTTCTTCGTGATCGCTTTTGGATTATAGATGCTCGGAACACAATTCGCCACACCATACACAATTGCATTATTTGTTATCGTTGTCGACCCCAAATATGTCAACAAATAATGGGATCATTGCCTAGAGATAGAGTCGAACCTTCATACCCATTTACTATTACCGGAGTGGACTATTGCGGTCCGTTTTCAATTACTCATCGTATAAGAGGTAAGCAACCAACAAAGGTATACATTGCCGTATTTATTTGCTTCACAACAAAGGCTATTCATATGGAGGTTGTAATGGATCTTACCACAATAGCATTCATAGCTGCTCTAAAACGATTCATAGCCAGAAGAGGCAAATGTAATACCATATATTCAGACAATGCTACCAATTTCGTTGGAGCAAATAAGGAACTGAAATTATTACTTCAACATTTCCTATCATCGGACCACATAGCTGCCGTCAGCGAGAACTGTAACCAACAAGGTATAAAGTGGAAATTTATACCTCCCCGTTCCCCACACTTTGGAGGTTTGTGGGAAAGTGCAGTAAAACAAGCAAAATATTTTCTTCGTAGAGCTGTGGGCACCTATCTCTTTTCGTATGATGAACTACAAACCGTATGTTGCCAAGCTGAAGCAATAGTTAATAGTAGACCACTTACACCAATGTCCAGTGATCCCGATGACCTTCGCGCAATAACTCCCTCACATTTCCTCATCGGTCGAACAGCTCAAACAGTACCAGAACCTTCTGTCGAACATTTTGTGTCAGGAACACTTAAACGATATCAACAAATTCAATGGGCTCAGCAACATTTTTGGCAAAGATGGCAAAGGGAGTATCTGAATGAGTTGCAAAGAAAACGTAAATGGACTACCCAGTTTGTAAACTTACAGCCGAATGATATGGTACTAGTTAAAGAAGATAATTCACCACCAATGAAATGGCATCTAGGTCGCATAGTGGAGACAATAAAGGGCCCAGATGACAAGGTTAGAGTTGTTGTTGTCAAAACTAGTGATGGTCAACACAAAAGAGCTATTACAAAAATATGTAAATTACCAATAAATTGAACCAGCATATGGCGGGGGAGTATGTTTAGCCCTTAGTGGGTTAATTAATCTTATTATTTTTATTATTCCTCTTCCTTATTCTCTTAATACGTATGTACATATGTTTGCAATATATGTATTTAGTATTTACTCACTAATGTTTACCATTATTATTTCTCTTATACATTGTTTGGAAATTGTCTCATCAGTTTTAACAACAACAAAATAACTTTAACAACCGTAAGCATCCACTCTACACAATGTTAGCACACATTTGTAGATGGTGCATTACAACAACGAATTAAGTAATATTATTGTCGTTATTGCATATTAAAATACAAATTATTCAAGGTTAACTTCTTTATTGCAACTTTCCAGTAGAGAATGTAGATCAAATGAAGAAAACATGTATACAGATTTTTTTTAGTAAATTTTTAGCTGCTGATGAGACAAGTAACAAATATTCATTGTAAATAAAGGAAAAGCAAACAATAAAGAACTTTGTATTAATTTTAAATTGAATAAAGGTCTATTTTTTTTGGATTGAACCAAGGGATTTGAAAACGATCAAATCTACACAACAATAATAGGGGCTTTTTTTAATCACTGGATTTATTTTATTTCAAGAAAAAAACTATCTTTGGAGGCTGAAATTTAGTTTTGGTCATCATAATCTGAAAATACACTGTATATGCTAATAGAAGGTCAAAGAAAAATTAATTTTAGTGCAACAATGGCGGTTCTGCAGCTAAAAGAAGTAAATCCAAATTGGATTTATTAAATCCAAAAAAATAGTTGGATTTAGCTAATTTCAATATGGCAATGCTTTGTATTCATAGAATAAAACCAAAATAATTTAAAAATGATTTAATTTGTTTTATTTTGCTATTCACCAATAGATGGCAAATATTTTTTAAAATGTATAAAAATAGGAAAATAAACAAAATTCATGTAACTTAAATATTTCAAACATGATATTTCAGTGCAAATACCAATTTTTGCAACAAATTGTTACAAATTTTATGGAAAATTTACAAATTTAATATTAAATTTTGAAATAACTCCATCTGTCGGCCGCTGCTGACATTGTGATTTGAAATTTGTTTAGCCTCGATTAAAACCTTTTGCTTTATCCACCTGGCGTACAGAGGGAGAACTAAATTTTGGATTTAATAAATCCAATTGTTTAAAAAATGCTTCTAATAAGAAATATAATTAGATTTTTCTGAAATTTAATTAGAAATTTTATAACTAATATTCCATTGTTCATAAATTAAATTGGTAATGATTTAGAAAAAATACTTCTAATGTTATAACAAGTCAAAATTAATTTTTCTTAACACTTTTGAACTTTTTTTCACAATACAAATTATTCAATTGGCAGTTATTATACCAATTTTATCTTATCACATCATTCAAATGATGATACTACTCCAAATTACTACAATTTTTTTAGTAATGTAATACATTGTTTAAAATATTTGTTACATTTTCAGAGCTTTTGGTTATTTCCGAAAAGGTCTAAATGTTAACTTCCTGTAATTGCTTTTGTTCATGTGTGAATAATTTATAATTAAAATAACTGCGCTTGTCTGTATATTCATTACCTCCAAAAATTAAACTTCCTGAATGTTACTGTACTAAAACACGAATTTTCATTTATTTAAATTAATGTCATGTTAAATTACCCAAAAATCTAAATATTTATAAATATCAAGAGTACGCATTCACATGTAATCCACTCAACACAAACGGAAATAGTCGTAATTTTTTGAAAAAGAACATAAAATTAAGCTAAATTAGAAATGGCAAGAACAGAGGGTTAAAAAGGTGAGTTATTAAATCATAAATACAAGTAGACACAAACCCACACTCAATCGAGCACATTATCATACGCACGTATATACGGGTACCTTAACATATACACATGTAAACGTGAAGATATGCACACAGATACAAAGACAAAACATATTTAGACCCAAAATTAAACCCACTAAACATAAAGAATGAAATATGAATGAACAAGAAAACAAACGAGCATATTTTATTAACAAAGTTAACAAAACTTTTGTTAGTCAGTGAAATAAATGGTGCTACATGCCAAATGAAAGGTTTTACTGTATACCGTATATCCCTCATTTGTACGTTTGTGATTTTTTTAAACATAAAAACATTTAACATATTTTTTGTTGCGGAAGAATGCATTTTTATACCCTACACCACTTTAGTGGGGAGGGTATATTGGGTTTGTGCTGATGTTTGTAACGCACAATAATATTGGTCCTACACCCACCTTAAAGTATACCAATCGGCTCAGAATCATTTTCTGAGTCGATTTAGCTATGTCCGTCCGTCTGTCCGTCCGTCTGTCCGTCCGTCTGTCCGTCCGTCTGTCCGTCCGTCCGTCCGTCCGTCCGTCCGTCCATGTAAACCTTGTAATCAAACTACAGGTCGCAATTTTGAAGATAATTCAATGAAATTTGGTACATGATCTTCTATTGTCCCAGGGACGAAGCCTATTGAAAATGGTTAAGATCGGTCCATTATTTCACCTAGCCCCCATACAACTGAACCCCTCGAATAGGGCTTTTAAAACTTGTAATCAAACTACAGGTCGCAATTTCGGAGATAATTCAATGAAATTTAGCACATGATCTTTTATGGTACCGTAGACGAAGCCTATTGAAAATGGTTAACATCGGTCCATTATTTCACCTAGCCCCCATACAACTGAACCCCTCGAATAGGGCTTTTAAAATTTGTAATCAAACTACAGGTCGCAATTTTGAAGATAATTCAATGAAATTTGGTACATGATCTTCTATTGTCCCAGGGACGAAGCCTATTGAATATGGTTAACATCGGTCCATTATTTCACCTAGCCCCCATACAACTGAACCCCTCGAATAGGGCTTTTAAAATTTGTAATCAAACTACAGGTCGCAATTTCGGAGATAATTCAATGAAATTTAGCACATGATCTTTTATGGTACCGTAGACGAAGCGTATTGAAAATGGTTAACATCGGTCCATTATTTCACCTAGCCCCCATACAACTGAACCCCCGAATAGGGCTTTTAAAACTTGTAATCAAACTACAGGTCGCAATTTTGAAGATAATTCAATGAAATTTGGCACATGATCTTTTATGGTACCGTAGATGAAGCCTGTTGAAAATGGTTTACATCGGTCCATTATTTCACCTAGCCCCCATACAACTGAACCTCTCGAATAGGGCTTTTGAAACTTGTAATCAAACTACAGGTCGCAATTTTGAAGATAATTCAATGAAATTTGGCACATGATCTTTTATGGTACCGTAGACGAAGCCTATTGAAAATGGTTAACATCGGTCCATTATTTCACCTAGCCCCCATACAACTGAACCCCCGAATAGGGCTTTTAAAACTTGTAATCAAACTACAGGTCGCAATTTTGAAGATAATTCATTGAAATTTGTCACATGATCTTTTATGGTACCGTAGATGAAGCCTGTTGAAAATGGTTCACATCGGTCCATTATTTCGCTTTTAAGTTCATAATTATGTTTAATATACTCATATCTCGACAAAAAGCTGCAATAACCAAGTTGTATACAAGACTTGATGACCCCCACGAATTCCATAATAATAGGTTCTCATATGACCCCAGCCCACAATTTTACGTCCACAATTTTATTCAACAATAAACGGCTTAAGTATGTATATCTAAGGCAAGGTACAATTCAACTTAAATGCTTTATTATGGCAACTAAATCACATTATATTTTTGTCAAAGGTGTAGGGTATTATATGGTCGGCCTCGCCCGACTATAATTTCTTACTTGTTTTATTTTCCTTTTTTCATAATAATAATATTCGACATCATGTTTCATTCTTTAATTTGTTGGTGTAATTTTTTGTTCTATATATCACTGAGTTCTAACCTTTACGATTTTAAGTGTCTTTATCCTTTCGTAGTTTATTTTTATACTACCCTACACTTTTAGGCTGATGTTTGTAACGCACAAAAATGTTGGTCATACAGCCACCTTAAAGTATACCGATCTGCTCAGAATCAATTTCTGAGTCGATTAAAATATGTTCGTCGGTCTTTCCGGTTGGCAGTCCAACCTGTACCATGTGCGCAATGTAAAGGCAATTTTCAAGATATTTTAATGAAATTTGGACAAAACGTCTTTTTCGACATAGGAACATTATTCCAGCTAGCCCCCATATGTATATGTCTAATATTCGTGAAAACATGAGTTTCAGTTTTAACGTAAAAATGTTAGAACTCAGTTCAAAAAACCAAAATTTTGGATTATACCAGTCTTGTCAACCAAGTAAATAGGCATTAGCGTAAATTACGGGTGTTTTGAACCTTTGTCGATGATACTGAGTAATTAGGTTTAAACAGTCACAAATTTTTTGATTATATATTAATTGCGATAAAACATATAACACATCGAAATATTGGACGTAGGTCGACAAAAGTATATACATATATTCTAGGTCCTTAATAAATTCTGTGACGATCTTGCATTATCCGCCTGTCTGTCCGTTTGTCTATTGAAAGCACGATAGATCCTGAGGGAATAGATGTAGGGAGATGAAATTATGCATAAATATTTTGTATCGATGCAGTTTGTTTTGAAAATGGTCCATATCGGTCCATGTTTTCGCATAGCCTCCATACAAGTGGCCACCTGAAAAATAGATTAAGCAGTCATAACTGGCTTAAAAACAAAAAAACAGCAATGAAATTCCAAACATACTAGTTTAATATAAACCACAATCTCACTACTTAATTTTATGAGGATTGGTCCATAATTGACCTTACTCCCCATATAAGAACACCTTCAAAAAATTACTATAACGATCATTATCTGCTTCAAAATGTCAGTATAGCAACAGAAATCGATATGAACAATTTTCATAAAAACTAAAACATCTCTGCTAAATTTTATGTGGATCGGTACATAATTGACCCTACCCCCCATAAAAGGTTGCTCTCAGAAAA